TCAACAACCTTTCTTGAGTGATCAGGAAGCTTTAACCTGTTCACACTTTATTTATTTTTTTAATTTTTAATGTTTATTTATGTTGAGATTAGAAGAGAGAGAGAAAGAGAGAGATGGAGGGAGAGAATCCCAAGCAGGCTCCACAGCACAGAGCCCAGCACGGGGCTTGAACTCATGAACCTCGAGATCGTGACCTGAGCCAAGACCTAGAGTCGGAGGGTCGACCAACGGAGTCACCTAGGTGCCCCTGGTTCACACTTTAAATACCTTATGGGGGAAATGTCAACCAAGCAAAGGTTATTTGGGGACAAAAGACAAATGAACGACTTTTTCCCATTGTTGTTGGGGGATTGTTTGAAACAGATCATTCAAATGAAGCAACAGGAAAAAATAAATAGTAGAGACAATAAACGCTTCGTACAAAAATAAACCTTAAGCAAACCCAGGATAAGAAATCTGCCACGGCCGTCATCGATAAAGAAACCAGTGAGAACGCATCCATGTGCTCTGTCCTTTTTATTCATTCACCAGCTCCGTAGGGATCCCTGCTGCCCAGGGCCCAGGGCACCTGCTGAGGCCCCTCCCTGCAGGGCCTGGGGGGATGAGGGGGTGAGCTCTTCCAGGGGCTTCTGCCCACAGCAAGATCATCTATGTGGGGAGTACGTGACAGATGTGGCTTCACTGAGAAGGGAATGGAAACTGGGCAAAGAGAGGAAGACGGGGCCCCGTGGAACCAGGGGCCTGCACACCAGGACCCACGTGAGCGCGCCAGTGCGTGGCAGGACAGCTGGGCGAAGGCCGTGGTCCAGGGGGTGGTGACTGGCTGGGTGACGCTTGGGGAGAGAAGCAAAGGGACAGGCGGGTGAGAGGCGGGTGCTCTGGAGGTCGGGGTGACGGGCGGGACTCAGACCCCATGGCCCTATTGGGAAGCTCCTGCCTCTGGGACATGGAGGGTTAATCCAACGATCAATGACAGCGACCCGCCACTCCTGCGTTCGTCCTTTGACTGGATGCATTTTCACCTGATCGACAGGCACTCAGTGTCCTGCTGGGTTTTAGCAGCTCAGAGGGCACGACTGAGTTGCCCCACGTTACCCACCCGGTGGTGTTTCCAGCGAAAGGAAAAGGTGCAAAAATTAAGCGAAGCTGCCATTTAAAAGAAATCTTCGTCTGTTGTCTTCCTATCATGTCTTAACTACAGACCAATGGCTTAAAAATGGATTAATTCCGCAGCCCTCAAAGTGGGCACGTGTTCGAGATGCAGACCCCAGACACCTAGGAAGCAGCTTTTTCTCGAGCTGGTTCCCCTTCTTCCCCCTGAGGGTTTCCCTGATTACGCCACAGTTGACCTTTCTCCTCCAACCGCATGACGACTGACAGCCAGACACACGTGAGCATAAACACGGATGGCGATAGACTGTCTACGACCTTCAATAACCTCATTTCCTGAGATTCAAAATCACGGTCAGAAGAACGAAGATGAAAGTTCCCAAACGTCTGGGTGAAAACCAGAAGCATCTGGAACTTCCCACAGGGGCCAGGAGGTGCCTGTGTGTTTCTAGGTGCTAACGTCACGGATGTTTTCCACCTCCTTCCAGCACGGAGTCTGGGCTTGTGCGACCTCCCGTGTCCTCCCACTAACATGGTTTCTGGCCGTAGTTCTGTGTCGTCGTGAGCCTCGGATAACTACCCTTGGAGCGTGATGATGGTGGTGATTAAGTCGTGCTGACGGCAAACAGATGGCCCGCAGCAGGAACGACTGAGCAGGGCTTCACAGAAGGGCCGTCAGGGGCGCGGGAGCAGCTATGGTCAGCATGCGCGGCCGGGTGCCCGGGACCAGCCTTCGCAGGGACTGTCCTGCCGCGGGCCTGAGGGAGCAGGACGCGGTCCTCACCGGAGCCGGGGCCCCAGGAGGCCCCCAACCGGGCCGAGCAACTACCCCAAATCCGCTGCTGCCCACGCGGAAGCACCGAAGGCCAGAGGTTGTGGTGGGGAGGCTCCGGGGCCACCGGGCGGGGGAGAGGATCTCAGGCAGCGAGTCCGCCGCCGGGCCCCTCGAGGAGCTCACTGCCGTGGGTGTAGACAACGCTGTGGCCCCAACGTGGCAGACAACCGACCCAGTTCCCACACGTTTGTGGGGCGAGGCGAATGAAATCAGTCACGTGTCCGAAACCCACAGTAGTCCCCGACCAGGAAACAGTAGGGGCAAAGAAGGGAGAGAAAACTTAACGGGAAAGCATGGCCCTCCAGCCTCTGCTTCTGCAGACGGTCGCGGGGCCCAGATGGCGATCGCACCTTCAGCCGACCCTGCGGTGCCCCTCGCCCCTCGCGGCACCTCAGACCCCAGTCTGCTCCCCACAGGCCCTCAGCGTCTGGCAGGCCCAGCTGTGTGCTGACTGGTACCCCGGGCGCCCGCCGAGCCCTGTGGCCCCGGACACTGTCCCTGTCCCATGGGATACGGGAGACATAACTTGCCCTCGGCAACTGGGATACCTGCCCAGCGAGCGTAGCCACCGTCTTCTCCACCCGATGTTTCCGCGCCACGAGGCGTCAGAAGGGCCCGGGGCCCGGCTTCAAATCGCATCAAGATGGTGGATGCTGCACTTGGGCCACAGGTTCTCCAAATCCACTGAGCCCGGGTTGCGGGGATGAAGGTTATCGGGCGGCATAATGAGAAGGGTCGCTCCCATCTCCCCTTTTTGGGGGCCAGTGTCTTGCCCCGTGATTCCAGGGAGACGGCGACATATGCCAGCTGCTGGTTTAAGGCCAACAGGTGACCCCCGCAGGACCCTACCCGACCTCGCCCGACCTCGCCCCGTAGATGGACTGTGCCTTCAGCAGGCCGTCCCAGCACGGGACCAGCCAGCTGCTTCTGGGCCTGAGGGTTCATGGGGGTGCCCGTGGGGCCTGGGCGTGAGGGTTCGGGGGGGTGGGGGTGCCCACGGGTCCTGGGCGTGAACCTGTTGTTGCAATGACTGTCCCTTAAAATGCATTTCCTGGTCAAGACCACACTGTGTGGGAGGCCGTGTGGCCCAGCAACCATTCTGCGAGAGCGTGGATGGTAACTAGGGGAAGGGAAGGAGCATCTGAGATTCACTTTTGTGAGGGGGAGTTGCTCCCCGGAACAATGGGGGGATTTGGGGGCACCCGGGTGGCTCAGTGGGTTAAGCATCCGACTTCGGGTCAGGTCATGATCTCACAGTTCGTGGGTTCGAGCCCCGCGTCGGGCTCTGTGCTGACCGCTTAGAGCCTGGAGCCTGATTCAGATTCTGTGTCTCCCTGTGTCTCTGCCCCTCCCCCACTCATGCTCTCTGTCTCTCAAAAAATGAATAAACGTTAAAAAAACAAAAACAAAACCAAATGGGCGGATTCATGGGACCAACCCGGAACAGGGGTCTGGGTCGGTGGACACAGACCAGGAACAGTGGGGAGGGAGACACTGGCCGACGGGCCCACACGCCCAGGACCGCCCACCTGGTGACCCGGTCTCAGAGCTTCGTACAAAGAGTGCGGGACGTGCGAACTCCCAGTGCTGCGCCCACCGCGCTCCCCTCACCTCATCGCCCCCATCCCAGTCTCGCGCCTTGTAGACCCCCAACCAGCCGGCGGTTCAGCCAGCCCCCAAATCAGTGTAGATGCGTGCCCCGGGCCCCCTCTCGTCTCCCAGGCAAGTTTACAGAACTGTCGTTCGGTCTAGCCTGATGTTCCCCCGTGGAGACTTCCTTCACCTGCCCTCGGGGCCACTCCTGACCTGGGGGTGGGGGCTGAGGCCAGCACAGCAGGACGTGTGACCGCTACTCTGGGCCTGCCCCTTCCTCCTCAGCTGACGGACGGCAAGGACCTGAGCGGG